GGCAGCRCTTTCCATAAATTACCCTCAAATTCAATACGTTGCTTGACAAAAACAAGAATAAAGGGCTTTTTACTTTAAAAAGAAGAAAACTTGTATCATAAAAAAAAATCTTTAAATTATAGTTTCTCTTTTCTGGTCCAATTTAAATTGTTACACAGTTGCTAAATTAGTGCTGTAATCCCTGCTTACAAATTGCAGAATTATTTTTAAAAATAGATGTAGTTTTACTGCAGGGAACAACCTTACACTTTAAACCATATGTGCTGCAGGAAGCAGCTCTTGCACAGCTTTCAGCCAACCACGCTCACGTGCACACAGGGTGAGGTTTACAATACCAGTCACACTGAAGCCAGTAGCATTCTCACCAGAGATTTCAATGAGCACAAATTGAGTTAACACTGACATTTTAGAATGATTAGGAAATTTAAGCTTCCCCAATATGCWCCATGGCATCAGCAGCTCAAGTTGTACCATTTCTTAAAACATCAGCATTTCTCTTCTRTTCTGAACTACAAACACTGATAGGCCAGGAAGTTAGAAGCTTGTGAGAGGAAAAAAAGCCCAAGATATACTTTTTTCTGCTCACAAAACAAGTAATTGGGGTGGGCTTGGGAGGAGGAAAGGTAGAGCACTGTGATCCCAAGTCTGGGGAACAGCAATAATCAGGGCATGACTTCCAAGCAGGATTCTTCCTCCTTCAAACATTTCCACAGCTTTAGTACTATGGAAAGATCAATTTCAGCTGCAAAAARTCCTTGTCAGTGATCTTTGGGGTTGGGGTTTAAGACCATGTCCTCAATATCTCACAGTGCTCAGCAGAAACAGGAAACCTCGATCACTGGGATCCACAAGGTTCTGCAGAGCATACCCACTATCTTCCCCTGCTTTAGAATGACAGACGTGAGAATTCCTTCAATCATTCATCATTTCTAGCCCACCACTTCTCGGAAGTCCTTTATCTGACCCTGGGTATTTCTGCTTTCTTATACCTTTCCCAGTCTTACTGTGCTCCTCCTCTCAGGTGAGTTACATTGACTTGGACACAACACAAGAAACCCACAGAGGCCAGGAGCATCTACAATATTTTGCTGCTTCCTGTATTAACTGCAGGAGCTCAGCCCCTCCCAGCCCTCACCTCAGAGGGCACATCTCCAGCYGCCAACACTGCCAGCAGAGGGGATAAAGAATGGAGGAAAATTTCCACGTCCTGGAGAAAGTTATCTGGACATCAAAGAACACCCCATTCACAAAGCAGCAGCATCACTCTTGCCAGACTGGTGTGTCTGGTTAACCTTGTGTTCAGCCCTGACGATAACACGGTATTTGGACAGTGGACAGCTGGCACTGCTCAAACATCTTGCTCTTCAGTCTTTTACAACAACAGTTCCACTAATATCACTCTTAGCCTTTTCCCTGCTCCGAGTCCAGTGTTAAAATCTCTCTGACTACTTAGAGGAAGCAAACCAAATGTTCTTTTGTCAGTAATTTGCCCTGTGAGGGAGGGGAAAAATATACTGATAACATACTGCAGACACAGCATTCATCACGTGCACAGCAGTACACTGGTTACACTGGAAACCCTATCATGGTATTTCAGATGTTAACTTGACTGTAATAATGACTGGGAAACATCTGTCTCCTATTAACACTTTAGTTTTTACAGTTGCTTTTAGTTCAGCAAAAGTGTCTTAATGGAGAAGAYTGGTACTCTTTTAGAAATAACATCAATAATGAAAGAATCCTTGGATGCAGAGCAAAACCAGCAAACACATTGGCAACAGAAGTCGCTGCACTCAGAAGATGTAACAGGAAATGATAGTGATGGGCTTTTCAGTGGGAGGATTTTTGTGTGAAAGAAATTAACTCTGGTACTCAAATTCCCATTAAGAAAAGTATTTCGTTTCAAACAGGTGACTGATTTCCTTAGATGTTAATTCAGACTTCTGGGGAATCCCATCTTAATTGGATCACTGATAAATAAAACCAGAAACAAAAACAACACAGAAAACCCCTTCTGCAGGCTATTTAGGCTTGGTACTGACTAACCAGTAATTAAATACAGCTCTTCACAATAATCTTAATTGTGGCTTCACTACACCACAACTAAGAAGAGTCACACAACAAGCTGAGAAGATTAGCCAATTCTAATTGTTGAAAAACATTTATTTTTGTTTTTGTGCATAGTTTTTGTATGCATAAGGCCACAAGTCACACCACTGAGTTATTAAAAAATAATCAAAGACTTCAAGAATTTATATATCACAACTAGGCAAGTATTAGTTYATTTTGTTAATATAAATGAAGACTCCATGGCTTGCACAAGAGGTCAAGAGGTTTGGACTTGGCAAAATAGGGATGTGTGCTAGAAATCAGTGTGAATTAGGTAGACCAGTAAACAAGTTTCACAAATTACTCGCACTCACAGCAACTGATTTCTCAGCTGGCCACTGCCATGAATTAACTCTGCAGTCTTGGTCCAGTCACACCTCCTGCACCTTCCAGAGGAACCTGAGACTGGTACTTCAGTCCCACTGAATTTCTACAGATCTAGGGTTCCCAGTATCCAAGCTGTTTTCYGACACAGGGACTTTGGGAAACAAAAAAAACAACCACACACACACACAAAACAAACACCAAAAAAGCCCCACCCAAAACCAACCAACCAACAAGAAACAGAAAAAAATCCAAAACAAAAATAATCAGAGGCCACAGTTCAGAAGAATTGTTATGGCTAGGCAGGCTAGATTTTGAGCAGATCATTAATTCTCAAAGTTCAGTATAACTGCATCACACATCTAAAGGCATCTGAAGACAAAAGGAGTCAGACTGTGCCTCATCAATTTAAAGGTCTCATTCATCTGCAACAACAACTTGCAAGCCTAGCTCAAAGCCTCAGTATACTTAGGCATTCATTATCCTACTGCAGGCCTCATTCCATTGAAAAATCAATGAGACATATGCTCTAGGACACAGACTCCTCAGGCCAAAGCCAGTGGCATGGCAGGGGACTAGATCCCTTGTAGATCTCGCTTTCAACAGCAGAGCCCTGACCTCTCTGAAAGGCACTGAGACATAGGCTACCAACACTTGTTTCTTCCACATTTACGAGTTTAATGTGTGCTTGGTTTTTTTTGTTTTTTTTTTTTTTCTTTACTGCATCAGACTGCCAGATTCCTGCTTCCCATTTTGCATTCACAGTACCAGCTGTCCAGTACACATATGCAACCCCATCAGCATTGCCATCCTTCCCCCTGCATGTGCAGCAGCAGATGGATCCAGACGTGTTTTGGGTTAACTCCATAACCATGTTTTTGTGGACTGCATGGGTAAACATTTAAAGGCCCCTTCTGGTTATATAAAAGGAAGCTATTAAACGTTTACTCTTTCCTCTGTACTCAGAGCTGCAAAGCCGTATCACAGAGCGTACAAACGCAGATGCAACCAGGCAATTATCGTTCCTTTATCCCTTAAATAGATAGAAGATAAATTTGAAAGAAAATGAGGAACAGAATCCTTCTCCCTTTCCTTTTTTATCCTTTTATCTCCCAATGTAGGAAGTTTACTGAACCCTTGCCAACAATTCACTCAGGCTAATGAAGTGTATAAGTAATGGGATTAAATAATCTTAAACCATTACTACAGTGGCTAATGCAGATGTTTTCCCAAACTAAAGCAGATGAGTGGTGTAGAATGCGTGCTTGATCTAAAAAAGAAGAAAAGAAAGTATCAATCTGCAAGCAGATGAAGTCAATTCCAGCCTGAAGTCAATGCAATGTTTAATTCCAGTTAYGTAAAGTTGCTCCAATTGTATTATGAATGCACCTTCCTAAAGTCTTCAGTGCTTTGTAAGTGGTTAAACTTGCCACAAAATGAAACTTAAATTTTTTATGGTGCAATCATTTTAGTGCAAACAAAACCAGAAATTATTTAAAAGGTACATATTCCACCAAAAGACCATTTAGCTTTTAAAAGCAAATCAACAAGGCCCATCTATCACTGCCATTGTAAATAACACAGAATCCTTCCTTTTTATGTTCAATATTTCAGTAACAATCTCCCTGTGAAGGCTCTGTAGAAAGAACAATTAATTACTCATGGCATTTTCAGAAATATTAAAATATTATTGCTCGAATTATCACTRGAATGCCAGAAATGTTAAGAAAAATAACAATTTTTACTTTCAAAAGTGTAAATCCAATTCTGGAAGGTCCCAGGTCAAGTGTTTGTAGGAACTCAAAACTGGAGGTTTAGAGAAGGATCTGGCAATGCCTTAACAATGTTCCAGTGCTTTTCTTACTCGTACAAGTTACAAGGATAATCCTTCTACACTGGATGCTGAGGTCAGACCAAGGTAAAGCCTCAGGCACACTATGGGATGTTACTTTAATTTGCACCTGCGCAACTGGTTCCAGTTACCTCTTATGGGAGCCTCTTAAAACGTGCAGCTCCTTCAAGCAACTGTTAATTGTTTGCTTTAGAGCTTGTTGGAGGCATGAAATGAAATTTTAGGGTAAGAAAACTTTAAGATACTTCAAAAAGTATCTAATCCAAAGACTCTTAGTTTAGCAGAAAGCCTTCCAACAAGCAAGGCAAACGTCTTGATTTTAGAAGTTTCAGGGCTTTCTTTTATCCCACCTTGTTAATCTTAGCGGGCACCACAGTCTGTAACCATTTTGCTATCAACACAGAAAGCTGAGCCACACTGCTGCTAAAAAACAACCGCATAGTCTGTTCCTTACAGAGATGAAACAATCACGAAACCCAGCTCCTTCTCCTGCTGTGTCCACTTCATTTCAGAGGCAGGTCAGACCAAGAAATGAAATTCACCCAGTAAGCTGAAAAAAACAGAGTTTTTCTGAAAACCATGAAAAAAACTGGTGCTCATGATACTGCCACAGGGTTGTCAGGTTTTAACTGTAAGGCGACTCCACAGCAATGAAAGAAATAAATGTAATGTCTCTGCATTAAAATCAGGGCRGAAGAGAGGAACAGGTACTCACAATGTAGCAGGGTTCACAGTAGGCTTTCTTCTCCACAGCATAGAAAGGCTGTCCCCTCAGCTTGCTTTTGCACGTTATGCAGGTGAAACACTTGACRTGGAAGACTTGGTCCATGGCTGTGCAACCAGTGCCTTCTCCAACAACATTCTCCCCGCAGCGGGCACAGCGTCCTGTCRCCAGAGAGAGAGGACAGGAGTCAGAGCAAGCCCCTTGTCTCACCTGCAGAGAAGGTCCCTCCACTCACCCATGGCTGCACAGCAGGTGAGGGGGACACAGCAGCTCAGTCCACAGAAAAACCATTTGTGCCACGGCTGGCAAAGACCCAGTGCCACTGGAAGGCACTCTGGTGCTGGCCCGTATGAAAATATCTAGAAAGAATTGAAACTGGCTCCCAAGACAGCACTCATGTCAGTTCTGAGGCTGCAAGCCAGTAACCATTGTAAGAATCCTGAGCTCCAGATACAAACCACTCAGCTATCATCTAACCCAGCTATATAGTCATCCTCAACTCTGCAGTCAGATGGGATAAACCTGTGCCTTAAGCCTTGATTCCACATGAAAGGATTTTGTGGTAGGAGACCTCATAAAGCTGCCTGGTGGCAGGACAATTGTTACCATTTAAAGAGAAGTTTTTGCTTGTATAGCTTAACCAATTCTCTCAATAGAGCCAATTACTTTTTTTTCTGTTCGAAGATTAACACAGATTAAGATATTGTGTCTATTTAAAGCACAGAACCTATTCCTAAAGAAACTGATGGGTGGATACTTTATACCATCCTTCATGAAATGTGTATCAGAAGCTGCTGGTAAAGACTTTAAGTACAGATAAGCTTTAAGAACTCTGTCTGTTTCTGCAAAAGGTCCTTAATGTCACACACAAACGGGTAGCAAAAAGTCTGCAGATACACACACACACACACACACATACAAAAGGCTTGCTGTCTTGTTCGGATTGCTGCTGAAGATGTTACGTGACAGAGAGATTTAAAGTGAAGACAAGATTTTCTTAGATCATGGGAAAACCCTTTCCCTAGGGAAGATTGTGGTGCAGAGATGATGGAAGAGGTGGGTGGAAGGCACACCTTTGCCATTTTTCTCTACTATTTGAGTTCTAGAAAAGGGAGATAGCCCGTGAAGGTCTGATGTCCTCACACAACAATCAATGTTGAAAATGGAAGGTAATAAGGACAACCTCAGCACCTTACACAGGAGAACTCCACCAAAGGTAATAGAGCAACTATGATCTGGGGCATTGCCCCACTCAAAATGGTGCTCTCCAGTTTGAGAGTAACTGTGGTTACCCCAGCCTTGGGGCCCTGTACCCCTTGAAGGATTCATGGGTGAAGTAGTGTGATCATCCAGAATGGAAGCAAGAGCTGAGGTAAACGCAGGAAGGCAGACTGAATTCAAGATCGAATTATCCATAAATGMATATAGAAATAATATGTTCATGATAATAATTACATAATCCAGCAATGATACAATGTCCTCTCAATACCATGGTCCCGTTTATTGGCCTTTTCATCCAAATACTGCACAACTTCCTACAAGAACTTGGACAGGTCTTGTCATCACAAGAGCAGGACTGCTGCCCTTCACTGTGCACTGTCAATGTCCCCATACTCATGATTTCTTTACTGCTTGTCCCAGACTCCAACAAGCTACATTCAGGGAACAAAGCATGTAAGMTACTTTTGGATCCCTCAGGATGTGGCTGGATGATATATATACACATTTGAGATATATTAGGAAAGCTTGGAAAAGAATCCAGATCATTACAATTTGCTACAATGGCAYAACTGTAGTTGCCTTTATACAGGACAGAGAGTTCCTGACTCAAACAGCTCCCAGCATGAGCAATGTGGAAGAAGTCACAGATTAATCCAGACCAGTCTGGAAAGCCCCCAAATGGAATTGATAATGCTGCATTTRAACTTAACTTTCCTTAGCATTTGTTACTAGTATTTTGATTGTCACTGCTGTGCTTTAATCACTCCACTGCAACACTTCTAGTGAGGACTCCTTTTGTATGAGCAGAAAAGGAATTCAGGTTTCCCAGCATGGTGGTGAGGCTACAGAGCATGGGGAAAGAATGGAAAAAACCATGAGGGCTAGGAAGAAAAAAAACCAAACTGACTGGAGAGRACCACAGGAACAGCACTGTGCTGGGGAGGAGGCAGAAGACACCTCCTGTGTACCATGGCAGAGCCCTGCTCAGCCCTGCGTGTGGACAGCACAGAGCTGCTCCAGGGCCTTCTCCAAACATCTCGTGTAGCTGGGCTGTAATATGAAGAGACGTCTGGGGAGCAGTTAATATCTCTATATATAAAACRTGAAATTGAAAGCCATTAGTGTATTACTTTACACAGTGTTTTTCCAGAGGGAATATTCYGCTGAAGAATTTATTTTCCCTAGTGTGCCATTCTGTGATCATCCGGTATTATTTTTATGAGGCATTTGGACATGGAATAATGTAGTGTCTATGCAAACACTTCTCAGCTTTCTTTGTTAACATCTGAGCAGAACATGTGGGAATCTTTTCTTCCCCTCCTCCTCTTCTCACATTCATAATTTAGCCAGCTCTTGGGTACTTTAGCATTTATCTTCCTCTTTGACCAAGGCATCACTCCTTTTGCTGAAGAAGCKGTCTATGTGGAGACCATACTTCAGGCTGTATTTGCGCCCGGAGACCTGGGTCTGTTTCCTAACTCAAATTCATACTCTTGCAATCTGACAGATCACTCTGTGCCTTTTTACCTCTGTCCTCCCTTCCAGCAAAGAGCATAAAGAAATCTTCTCTGCCTCCCCAAGGTGTCCTGAGGCTACATTCCTCCACACCTCTGAGGTATTCCCCAGCTACGCTGCTGGTGCCCAGATACAAAGCAAAGAGTAGCACAACACAAGTTTTGGCCAACTTCTCCCCTTTAAGTTGGTTTCCTGAGACTTTCCTTCCTCTTTCTGGGATTTTCCACAGAAGATTCCCATTGAGGCAGTGACAGACTTTACCTGTCTACATTTATAAGAAGTCCAGTTTCTGCTATTAAGTACACAGAAATACTCCTACAAACTCCCACACAGGAAAGCTTCAAGAAAGCTTCCTTCTTTATAAGTTTATATGCAAATTATAACACTGTGGCCTTGAGCAAACCATGTTTTTCATGAGACATGGCCACTCCAGCGAGAATCAAAACACAAGCTCTGTGCCTAGCAACTCTCCCAACTGACTCAATCACCCGAAAGGTAAAAAAAAATAAGACAAAATATTCAAATTTGGGAGCTCACAGTTGGGGGGCTGGACTCACCTAAAGGCATGCAGGCAAATACACAACCGATCTGGTTTGCAACAATGTGACCAGTGGAGACTGCACCTTCTGCAGAYCTTGGTGCAATCTGGGAACTCATTAGACTTCTGCAAAGGGTTATCTCTTCTCCSAACTCCTAAGGCTTGCTCAAATGTAGTTGAAAATGGTTATTAGTTTCAAGTGTTGGTGAAGGAGGAACTGACAAGCACATCCACACAGGCAATGTGATTGCACAAGCCTAATTTCCTTAGAAAACCAGAAAAACCCCACTAAAAACAATGTATCTATCATTATGTCAGATAAAAACAAAACAAAAGTCTGCTTTTCCAGCGTGCCAGTCACCAACGGCGAAGGTATTTGTGGTTGGGCTAGCCACAATTAAGTGCCCACACATGTTCCCCATTTTAATATTTTCACACTAGCTCAAATAACCCTGTCCGTTGTGTGCAGAATACCCATGAGTGAACACAGAGCAAGTTGCTCTGCTTATTGGGAAAGAAGTAGCAAAGGCAAAGTTTGCGAGACACAAGAACAAACAGATTGCACAAAAAAAGATTACACAAATAATCTAAGAGAAAAATAGCAGGCAGCGTATTACAGTAGAAACATAGAACAACGTGACCCATTTGCTTCCCACAGAGACAAACAGCATTTAAAAGGCAGCTTAAAGACAAAGGACAAAATTAGCACTAAACTGCACAAAGATGAAACTATGTCATTTCAATGTTCTTCTTTTGCCCCCTTCATCCCTTTTCAGATTCCTTTTCAAGATCATTTCAGCAAAACTAGAAGGCGATATGTTGGCAGCAAGCCTGGGAGACCGGAGTCCTCTATTTATGAAAGAGGTTCACAACCTTGGCCGTGCTGTGACCTCCCCTCAGCCCAGCCCGGCTGCCACATCTTGGTCTTACCTTGGGGGACATACAGAAGGGCCCACAGAGGCTTCCCTGCTGAAAATGCCATCATCAGTGAGTGGATCACAYGTAAACACTTCAGCAGCTGAAAGGATACATCAGCTACTGTATTCTGAAACCTCACTGTCTTCTGTCGTGTAAAAAAWTTGAAATATTGTGCCTCTGAAGGAAGAGGGGGAAGGAAGGAGCTCATATTGCATATGATGCCATGTCCTAACTTCTTGTTATCTCATTACTAGTATTACATGGGTTTTGTCTACACCACCACTGATCCTGGCTGCTCAGATGATGGAACAGACCTGCTCTCCTGGGTATTGGAAAAACACAGAATTCAAAGAAGGGCCCAACTACAGGAGTTCACAACCTAACACAAGCAGTAACAACTGGGCAGAGATAGGAAATAGAAGGAAACAATCGGACAGAACCAGTCAGCAAGGGAAACTGTGGTCTCAGCACTCTGAATGTTTAACTATTGACAAGGAGTTTGTAGACAGCAGAGCAAAGGAAAAGGTTAAGGAAGAATTTGGAAGAGGACCCGGAGGGAGTTTGAAGGAAGTTTAATAGAAGGTTTCTGAGGAAAGGACAAAGACAACACAAAAGAGAATGTAAGTGCTTGAAGATTGAACATAGATACCTTCAGATGGGAAKGATGAGCTGAAATGTCACTAGAGAATACCAGAACACTAGAGGAAAAAGGGTGGGAATAGGTCATTACAGGTCACAGAGGTAAAGACATGAAGCTTCTGCTTAACATGAGGCAGACATGAAACCAGAAGGGAGATGTTTAGGAGTTGGATTCAATGATCCTTGAGGSCCCCTTCCAACTCGTGATATTCTATGATTCTGTGACTAAGAGGCTGAAATGATCTGGCCCAAGCTACAAGCCAGTTATTTCTGCAGCTAGTTGAGCCTGAATATAGAGAAATTGCACTTTTTGAAAAGGATGTTGCAGAG